TATATATATATGTATTAATTCTAACTCTTTGAAAACTTATGGCCAACATATAGAAAGAAGACAGTTCCTTAGTTCACCTATGTTTCTGGATCATTATAAAAAATGAAAAAGCATATTATTATGAATTATATAATTGGTGAAGTAAGTACGTGCTTAGGGATCCAGAGACATAGGAAACTTTCAAGCTATAATAAGAACACAAAAAGATCTTATAATGAGAAACTCTAGAAAGAAACTTAAAATTCAAACCCTCATTTAAATTTTGTTGTGGATTCAGTGTTGTTTATAGATTTCAATGTGTTGGGAGGTTTGGAGAGAAACCATTGAAAGGTATCTAGTAGTTAAGTTTTATATGAACACTGTTCTGGAAGACTATTCAAAGTTTGTTGACTTACAGAAAAAAACAGGTACAAACACTGCTAAAAATGTCATAGCAAATAATCTTTTCCAGAATACAATTCTTCTATCACGTTACATTTTCACAAAAGTGTTTTCCCTCCTAGTTACTCTATCATAGCAATCTAAACAATAATGTCATATTTAACAAATAGCAGTTATTTCTACCATAAACAGATCACTTTTGAGAAATTTATGTGAAAAACTAGTACCTTGTTAGAATACTTTATATCACCTGAAAGTGATTGTATTTACTTGGCTTTTAATAAGCTATAACATATTTACCCTCAGTGCAAGATCATCTCCCAAATGTTAAGAAAATAAAATTGCATCATCATACGAGATTTTGGGAAGAACATTTTATTGCTAAGCATATCCTTGAACGAAAATGCAAATATGAAATAAAGAGAAAAGGAAAAAGAAAAAGCAGTAACGCCACAACATCATAAAATAAATTCCTTTAGGGTTTTGCTAATAAAACAACAGGAATATGGTAGAAGCTCACATACAGAATGCACATGTTCCCATAAATTGTCCAAATAGAAACCTACACTAAAAGGAATATAATAAATGTATTTTACTCAAATTTAAAGAAAAATGTAAAGAAAGAAATCAGGAAATCAGTTCACAAGACCTCAAGACTCCAAAAACAGCAATCTTTTATAGACATCGAGATATAATCAACTTCATATAGGCTGGGCCATTTAGATGATCTAAAATCGTGCTTTGATATCTCTTTATAATCCCATCTTTTTTAATGACAACAAAAAAATCAAAAACTCTTAACACATCAATGAAATATCAGATGATGAGGAACATCTCTTTCCATACACATTAGTAAAGGCTACCATTGTTTAGATTGCGCTTTTTTGCCCCATGTCTTTAAGATATTTTTTCCAGATATTCATGCAACTTACAAAGACCAGCAAGAGTAGATTTCTAAATCTAAACAGCTGATTGATTTTCATCTGTACAAAAGAAATTGTATATATCTGACCCTCCAGAAGACATTCTTCGCATTTGTGTGAATATTTGTCTCTTGCTTTTTTGGATAGCTATGGCCACACAACCAGTTTATTGTTTATTTTTTTTTCTGTACATTATTTCCTCTTTACAAAAACTAACAAAAGAGACAACTGGCATACAAACCAAACAAATCAAAATAAACATATAGAAAAGAAAGAACAGTTCTTAAAGCAGTTATGTACACAGGTGGCTAAGGAATTATACCAGCAAAAATGTAGTAAAATATGTAAACAAAATCTGAGAAGATTTTTTTTAATTCTCTTTGACACAGTTAACTGTGACAAAACTAAAACTCACACTTTCTTCACATTTTAAGGTTTACTTTTTTGTTGTTTTGTTATTTTTCTTTTAAAACAACATTCTCATTCCACTTCAAGACTTTAACAGATTTCCTGTGTCAGTCATCCCATCAAACATACTATGAGAAATATATCTGTATATATATTTATTTATATATATATTATACTATTAAATTCCTTTTTGTGTGTTTGTCACAGCAGCTTTATTCATTTATTTATTTATTTTTTTTAAAAAGATGGGTGAAGGAAAAAGTGAGCAAATGGAAGGACAGAGTTATTCGTAAGTTGTCAGACTGCGAAATTAAACCACTATGAAAATCATTACCATGTTGGGGCGGGGAAAGAACTATGTATTTTGCACTCTGTCATGACGTTTGGCTTGTGTGTTCCATCACAGGTTAAACTCCCCATTGTCTATTTTGATTCCTTCGCGGATTTAAGTATTGTCTTTTCTTTTTTATTTGCATGCATCTCAATCAGTTACAGATCCAGCCCACCCCCTCCCTTTCCCTTCTCTAGGAAAGGCTGTTTTAGTTTATGGGGCTTTCATTCCCCTTTAACACAATTTGGCTGGGTTGTTAGACAGGTACAAAATTGTTAAGTAAAGCCAATAGCTCTGAGGAAACCCGCCTTAAACCCTCTGTTTGGGGTTTGGGTGGTAAATTCTGGAATTAGATCCTGGGGAACCAGTTTTTCAAAGCAATATTATCATCCATCACATGGGTTTTGCTATGTGTTCAGCAAAGCATCTTATAGGAAACAAACAACAGATTCTAGAGACACCACGACCTGATATGTAGAGTGAACACCATGGTAGCTTTTGAGTTCATATGGCAAATAGTCTCTCTTACTTTTGTTTTCTGAGTTTTTTTTTTTTTTTTCTCTTCTTCTTAACTTAGGTCCAGTCATTCTCAAAAAAATAAACATAAACCCAAAAGCCATTTTTTCCCCTCAGATCTTGAAAAATTACACGCACACTGGCCTGAACCAGATAAGGATTGTTTTTTTTTTGTTTGTTTTTGTTTTTAAACTTTTTTTCTCTTTTTTGTGTTTGTATTTTTTTTGTTTGTTTGCTTTTTTTTTTACATAATTAAACTGAAAAAAAAAACATGGTTACAGTCAAGCTTCACAAACATCATTACAGACTCACTTGGAGTTATGGAACAAGTAAGCCATGAAGTCTTCTACCTTTAGTAAAAGGTCCTCAAGAGAAGGAAGCTTCCAGTTTGCGAAAAGTGGTGGAGCCATGGGGGTTGCTCCAGAGCGCAAAGTGTGTGCTTTATGATACAGCAGGGCAGAAAGAACTTTCTGTCTCCGAGCGATGACTGAAACACGGCAGCCATGGCTGAACTGTAGGGATAGATACATCTTTGTGTGTGTCCGTTTAAAAATGGTTTTCCCCACCCTAGTCATGGAATCCCCATCTCCTAGGTGTAACAGTTCTGACGTCTGTTAAATCTCCTTGCCAAAGTATCTAGAGATTTATGTAGAAAGAACTCTGTGTCTCGAACTCCTGTGTCATCCGTGTGACCACGTTTACACGTAGTACTCTTTGTCCTTGTTTTTCTGTTTCTTGTGGCCGCTCTTCGAGCTCTGCTGCTTCTCCTTCATGAGCGTGCCGTTGCTCTGGGCCGAGTTGCTGATGTAGTTCCGCGTCTCGTCCACTTGATAGGACCCCTCGTCCCTGTTCCTGTACTTGTACATGGCGTACAGGAGGATCAGTATGCAGAGGGCAGCAGCAGCCACAATGCCGACGACCATCCCTGTCGTACTGCTCGACTCCCGGATCACCTCTGAGGCCCCCGGAACCCGTCTGATTCCTGGCTCCGTGGGGTTTGCTGTGGGCACATTACGGAACATGGGGGAAGTAATTAGTGGGCTCTTCAGTTTGGTGCTGTCTAGCTCATAGGCAGTGGGCAACGGAAGCAAGACTATATCAGGCTGGGGTTTGAGATCACGGTTATTCATTTTGCCAGCTGGCAATTTGGGCACCATCCCAGACGAGGAGGAAGCTGTGAAGCGGATCAGCTCAGGGGATAAAGATGTGGTAGTAGTCCTACTAGTTTCCGAGACTTTGTTAGGTCTAAAGTCCTTGGATTCCCACTTGGGCGCATGTGCTTTGTAGCCACCTTCGAAGATTGAAGTGGAAAGACTCTTATCTGTTACCAAGGAGAAGGTGGTGTAAAAATCTTCATCATCAGTAGGGGGCAGGTTAGAGTCAAAGGTTTCCCCTGAGCCATACCCAGATATCACCAAGCCATCATCATCACAACCATCGCTGCCTTGGTCCGACAAGCAAGGTAACCCCGCCTCAGAGGTCATGGACAGGGAATCTTTGGTGGTCTCAATAATGGTGAGGAGGGGGCGAAAGGTAGGGGCGAGTGTAATGGAAGGTGCACGAGTAGCAATAGCAGGGGTAGCTAAAGGGTCTTCTACAAGAAGAGGGATAACTAATTCACCTCCTGGGATTGAAAAGAAAGAGAAAAACAAAATTAGCATATTTGTAAGCACAGTCCATAGTCACTCTCAAGGAACGTAGGTCATAGATTATCCCTCAAAAATTAGAATAAAATGACCTGCAACCACATATGGGTCTTTTCCTGGTTGTAGCCTGATCATTCTAGGCTGTTTCAGATGCCCAAGAGCCCTTAGAGGCCTCTTGCTACCCAAATCTGAAATCCTCAGATCTGGGGCTTAGACTTTAAAGATACTCTCAAGTAAGTATTTCGATAGAATTCAAATATTCTGTTTCCAGGATCTGCTTTACAGTATGACAGCATTCAGTCAGCAATATTGTTACAAATACTGATTTGCAATCACAATTGTGTGTAGGGGGTACATGCGCACATTGTGTGCTGAATTTATGAGTGAATGTATAATATTCCTTTATTGTTTTCTTAGGTTCTCACTTACTTGTTCCCACAAGGATAAGAATGATCTTTTGCCCAAGTTACTGAGACTAAGACCAAGGAACATTAAAAACTGTCTTCAGTATTTTCCTTCAGTTATTACCTTTTATCTCACACTTCCTATGACCATCTTCATTTACGATCAGCCAAGTGAAGAGACTTACAAAAGGTTAAATATTGTTTATCTAACAAATCCATTTTGATTATTTATTTTCCAGAAAGTTCCAATTATTAAATGACAATTTGCCTGGTAGTAGTCTAATATATGTTTAAACATGGTTTTAATGCTATATGGAATATAAGCCGAGCTGGAAACTAGACTTGAAAAATACCTAGCCTACATATCCATGACTAGCTGGAAACGTACTTTTTAGATTCAGAAATGCTGACTTAGCAAAGGGAATTTTTTTCAATCAGTAATTCTCAACCAGGTGGCAAAAACGTGGTATCTGTTTAGATACCCTTGTTGTACTTACAAAGATGTGGACTAAATCAGGAAAGAAAGTTCAGAATAGTTCTTGAAATCTCAGTGCCTTACAAGTCATAGGTTCACAAGTATTCTGTAGTGGCTGTTGCGTAGTCCAACTATAAGACCGAAAGTGTCGTTCATCTGTGCCAGCAAAATAATCAAGATCTCCCTTGTGTCTCCTTACAATGCTTTTGTTTTCCCAAGTAGAAGAATCTCAAGAAGTCAGTCTATGCCACTTCATTGAATTTATTCCAAAAAAAATATTATAACTATTACTTTAAAAACATCTTCTATTTGAATGTCATGATGCTTCCCTGCATTGGTTAGCCAGAAAGTTTAGATGCCAAGAAAATATTACTGATGAAGGCCTCTTTTTGAGCCGCATGCACTACCCTGTGTCTTCTGCCTTTGGTAATAACTTTATTGTAACGGGATGGTCAGTGTTTGAGCATCTGTTAACAGATAGGACTGTGGCCGAGGGGTCTTCCTTATTGGTAGCACAGGAAGACAAGGATTTGTAGTGGCTCCATATTATGAAGTTCTGGGGACACGTCCAGTGGACAAGCCTTTGAATTTATGCAGTCTTTTGTGGTTCTTCCTACGAAGATTGAGTTACAAATGAAAACTCACTCCATCAGCTTTCTACAGCTTTTACTTTTAAATACTCACTATGCCTAGGATAGAACTGTTGCATCCAAATTGTACAGATTTTGGATGTGCTAAGAGAAGGGCCTTCTGGGAAAAAAGCAATTGTATATTTTCAAAGCACCTGAAAATAACTGGTTGTACCCATTTCAGAAGCCTTTATTCTCTGCCTCTTTAGCCAATAACATTGTGCTACACGGAAAGAAACTTGAGTTGAAGAGGGAGGTTATGTGTGGGAGACTTCAGAAAGCTTGTGCAAAAACAGAATTAAAGTACAAGTTTACTTTGGTGCAAAAAACTTAGACATCCGTTAATATTATATTCATAATATACATTTTCCTTGAGCTTTGTAAAGACCCCTCATATATAATATGTACCCTTTGGAAAGAAAAGGACAACAGGACATCATGCTGTCATCTCTGGCCTGCATGATAATTTTCCATGTGTGGAGAAATAAAACAAAAACCTTTTTGAGAATCTCAAGATGCTATTGTGCTCTGTGCTCTCAACCCAAGCCCCTATTCTGGTGCTCAGTTTGAAATTATTGAGTAAAGTGATCTTTGCAGATTTGCCAAAGCTTCAGACTTGTTTTACTGGACCAGCATGTCTATTTTTTATATTGTGAACATTTATAATTCATATACCTTGCAACTTATTTAATGCATAATTTACACACTTTTGCTAGTTTTTATAAATGGGATTTGGAGTGTTGTTCCCTAAAGGTAAGCTAGTTCTAAAACTAACCCTGAGCAAATTTTTTTTTTTCCTTATCCTTCTTGTAGGGCAGCCCCAAGTGGTAAATTTAAGGTGATATGTGGGAAAGGGTAGTGTTGGAGTAACAAGAGAACAATGATGAGAGCGAAGTGAAGGTCCATGAAATCTATCTAAAGGTTCCCTAGGGGTTGCTTAAGAAGGATTTTACTTTCTTCCTGAAACAAGATAGGATGTTTTTACCCAATTTAACTGGAACAAAGATTTAGTATATGTGTTCTTTTCTGGCACAAAACCAAGAGTCACTTATTTGTTTTGACAATTAAAAAAAGAAAGAAAGAAAGAAAAAAAAAAACAGAAAAACCCTCTGGGATTGTAAACACAGAAGAAACTGAATTAACGGACAGGAATAACTGATTTGTTGGGAGAAAAAGGCCTGCTACATATAATTTAAATATAAAGGCAAACTGCTAGGTGGGATGCTAGTGTCTCTTGAGGTGAGATTAAAATTATAGTCTTCATGATTACAGGGTGGATTCACTAGCAATTTTAGGTTCTCATTTGTGACCCCCAACTGGAGTCTTAAATTCTCTATCATCTATCTATCTATCTATCTATATCTATCTCTATCTATCTATCTATCTATCTATCTATCTATCTATCTAATTTATCTATTTATCTTGATCTATCTTGGTTTTCTTTCTCTTTTTTAAATCCTAGCTAAAGATTCTATAGTCTTTGTGTCTTAAAATTGACAACATCTACCAAAGGCTCACTTTGCAGCTGAATTACTCCACTTCCTTCTGCTATTTCATTTTCATCAACACCTTAATGGAAACATCTTTCTTGGACTTGGGGAAAAAAAAAAAGTAAAAACCATCCTTTTCACAATGGTGTGTAAAGAGGGTTCTGAACCTTGCTAATTTATAAAAAGCTTCTAATAGGGGGAACCAGCAGTTAGCGTAATGGCTATGTCGCTGGACTCCCACGTAGTCAACCGCAGTTTGCGTCCTGGACCCAGTGGCTTAAAACTCATGCCGAGCTCATGTGCGTGCGTGCCCAGGATCCCAAGAGGAGAATGGAGGAGAAGGGACTGCGGCATGACCATTCCCTCTGGGTGGTGATTTCTTGCTTTCTGTCTCTATGTCTCTCTCTGTCTGTCTGGCGAGTGCACGCGCCCTATAGCGAAAAACCTCTCAAAAAAAAAAAAAAAAAATTTTTAAAAATTGAGCCTGAAAGTGAAATGATAAGAGTCTATTTTAAACTAAAAAAAAAAAAAATCACAGTTATGCTATTGCAAAGTTCAGATAACAAAATATGTCAAGACTATTCATTCTAAGCGTTTTTTGCCATTTTGTTATTAGTCCCAGTAGCAATGATAAGTTATAAATGATGCCCTCTGTTGAGAAAATTTAAGCCCAAATTATGCTATACTTTCATTAATGAAATTATAGAAACTTTTATAACTCTCCTTGCCTAGAATCTCAAGGAATTGGAAGAAGGCCTTTAGTTCAAAATGAAGTTGACTGGAATGAAAGGATCATTATTAAAGATGAGAATTATAATGAAAATAGGTGGAAATTTTTAGATAACTGCAAACATGAAAGCTACCTGGGACAGGTGTATGATTTGGAGTGCTCAATCAACTTCAATATCAACATCCATCTCAAATTTTTACTGGGGAGTCCAAGGGCACATATCAATCAAGGTGATGTGAGAGACATATATCTTCCTATTAGATGGTTAATAGAAATGACTTAGCTCAGGGGAAGCTCTTCAAGAGACAAGATGGAAAAGAGGTTGTGGCAGTGGCCATTCCCCATGGGGGTATTGTCTCTCTTTCCTTCTTTGTCTCTCTCTGGCGAAGGCACATGCTCTCTGACAAATAAAAGATAAATAAATTTAAAATAAAAAAGCGGTCACAGAATTGAGAAGCCTGAAGTCATTAAGGGTTACAGGCAGAATGATATTAACCCTGTAAGCCATCAAACCCCTAATTTTCCATGCCATCTCCAAAATTGTTCTTTGGTTAGGAGTAAGAACTACCTATATTCCTTAAAGTTAGCATTTTGAAATATGGAATATATGCACCTTTTTATTATTTTTTTTTGACAAGGTTGTGCTTTTCTTTAAACTAGAGAGATCACTAGGGACATAAAAGGTCTATTTTAGCCCCGAAGGCTGCCCTGCTTTTTTGCTTTATGAGTGTATTTATAGATGTATAATTCATGCCTCTAGGGCTGATATCCAGCAAAAGGGGCTCTCTGCCATCGAAAAAGACAGTGTATTAAAAATTTAATAAAACTCTTCTGAACTGTGAGAATGTTGTAGGTGATAGTGAATGTAGTAGGTCATCTAAAAACCAACCAACAAATAAAAGAAAACAAGATAACCAGCATAAAGTTTCAATGTGGCTCCAACCTTTGCTTCCAACCTTGGAGATATTTGATTGTCAGATGTCACAAAAATACTAAAACAGTGATTCTGAATAGTGAAACTCTGCGAGAAGAGGTCATGCTCCAATTCTTCGAATTTCTGTTATGCTTATTTGGGCTTTTTACCTTATCTATTTCCAATTTCCATTGAAGATAATCATTTTGTTATGAAATGCTATGAAAGGATATATTTGTAACACAAAAATATCCTGAAGCTTCTTATCATGAAATTGTTCTCCATCTACTTTCATTAAAAAAAAAAAGACATGGACAAACATGCCAAGTACCTGAGG